CCACTTGCACTGCAGAGCACATGCCATGTCACCGGGCACAGAAAGTGGAGTCTCAGGCCAGCAAGGAGGCACACCCTGACACGGCCCCTCACCCAAACTGACCGGTTTGTGTGGCCCTCAGCTAACCATCGGCTGCTCCAGTGGGCATGGCTTCTGGTGGGGGAAGAAGCTGGCCTGTGAGGAGCCCACATTCTCAGAATGTTTTCATGAAACTGGAGAGCGGGGTGGCTAAGGGGGATGGGGCAGGGGAGGGAGGCAAGAAGGGGAGGCTGGCTGGCTTCCACAGGTCCTGCTCTAAGAAATCCAACAGTTAGAAGTTAAGCTAAAATGATCTTTCACACTTGTGGAGACTTAAAATATTAAAAACTGTTTATAAATAAGGAATGCAATAGCTGCTTAAGAATGTTATTCTCTCCCTAAAAGAGTTGATAGTCAAGTTTTTCTTTTTAAAGCTCCTGAAATGTTTTAAAAGAAATGTCTATTATTTCTTGCTTTTTCTAGGTTATCTAGGAAGTACTTTCGTAGGATTAACTTTAATGAATAAATTTTAAAGGAGAAGTCAGTCCCAGAAAAAAAACTTCTGCACTAGCTCAAAATATCCCTCCAAGTAACCTTGGTCCAGCACTCATTATTATTGTTGAATCTCAAGAACTGATGACCTTCCCAACCATGAAGCCACCCTTTAGAGACACACCGAGCTTTGGGTACCCCAGTTCAGATCATATAAAGCCTTTCCCTGTGAAACAAGGTGTCCTGTTTCCTCAGAGAGAAAGCCCCGCCCACAAGTGAACAAATGAAAACCAACCAACCCAAGTAAACAAAACCAGTCGACACTTTTGGTTCGTCTTGTCACCAGGAAACAGAAGTCCTAACATTATTCTAAATCTCGTGTGATCAAGTCAGGGGGGTGGGCTCCGGGAATTCCAAAGTAACATGTACGAGGGGAAAACGGGGACCCCGGGACCAAGAGCCACGAGTGCAGCCAGCACAGGACAGTCTGCGTCACCACCAGCATAGTCCTGTGCACTTCTGTCACTTCATGGATATCTGTCAATTATGTGACGAAGTGAGCGAGTGTGATACCCTCGCTCTGAGCCAATGGGATAGACAACATTTTATATTAGTTTATAATAAACATTCTATGCATAACATGGATGACTAAAAAATTCTAAAACAATACACAGCTGACATGGTATAGTCACCATTGAACTGTAGTCAAATTTAAATTAGACTGAAATATGTATGGTAAGAGCTTTTAACTGATTACAGGCTACCATTTCACTTAACTTACCTAAGTCCTATTTAGCAAATACCTTTAGATACATATTTAGATCAAGTGTGAAATGCGATCTGAGCATTTACATAGAAACCAAAATTTGAAGATATCAAAATTTCATTAAATAGTTGTTTCTTTTATAGTAGTAAATGCAAATTACTACCCTCGCTAACTTGGGGCAAGTTCATTCAATTTGGTCAATTCAGAACACTCCAAATGGAAATAGTAACAGGTATGGTTTCTTCTCTAGAAATTTTATCCTCAATATAGTCATAATCCAATTCATAACGAATTTATAAAAATAGCTTTTTATCCAATAATTCCAGCAAGGTAAAAATAGGAGTTTCTTTTTATAGATAGCAAACGAAACAGGCTCACTGAATACGAGAACTTGAACGTGTTTAGGTTGCCATACATTCGCCACGAAGTCACTCAGCTTGTTGTTGTGTCTCGTCATCCACCTCACACTGGCAGATGCGTCTTTCAAATCCGTGGGCTACACAGACAAATCAGCCCACTGAGACCTGCTTTAACCACGGAACTCAATAAAAACTGCATAATTTTTTTTAGAAAATGGCAGCACTGTTCCTTCAGCTAATGAGCGGCTCACGGGGGTGTCTGTCATTCATCACATTTTTAGCGTTAAACCTTTAAAGAATCTCCTAGAGGCCCCCC